TGGTTCTTAACATGCTGGTTCAAGTGATTTGACGAGACTAGTTGGTGGTTCAGCTCAGGGTTTGACTAGTGGGTCCGGTTTTCTCAAAAAATGTTGCCTGAGAGTTGAGATGAATAATTTAGGTGGAAAATATATGGGTTTGGAAACCAAATCTTACAAATGATTGCTATAGACATTTTAGCAATTCTTATCTCTATTAATACTTCTAAGCTTGCTTTGAGTACTTAAATAGGTTTTGACTAGATAAATTGGTGGTATTTATGGGTACTCAACGTTGTATATGTACAAGATAAATTAGTTTGAATTCAAACAACTATCTATTGATTAGGCATGAATACTCATGAATTTACGAATAACCAAGCGTGGTTTGTTCAAGCAGTACCAATATTGTATTGATTCCAATAAGAATCCTGCAGTTACACGTACGTAAGTGAAACTAATATTAGGATTACTGATCTACTAGAAAGTCCTCATTTTGCACCCATTTTAATCGACTAAAAAAAAAATTCACTTTTTATTAAAATTGAATATCCACTTTTTTCATTTGAAATCGAGTAACATAAAAGGATGATAATAATTTGTAGTGGTTCCACCCCAACTGTTTTATTAGCTAGGGGTGAATATTGTTGGATTTAGAATAGAAAACCGAATTAGCAATATGGTATGGTTTTCTAAACCCAACCAGTTTAATTATGCTTTACAAAATTAAATTTTTGTTTATGATAAACCGATTTAAAACCCAATTTAGGTTCAAAATTGATTTAAGTTCAGAACCAATCCTCTACTAGGGAATCAGTCCATCCTGATTTTCCAAATACCAAAGCAAAGATTGAAACGATGTCATTCTCTACGAAGAAACCTTCACCAGGTTCTTCGACCTCGCTCGTCACACTTCACATCTCTACTGTTAAATGCTTTGCCCTCGAAAGGCTGGCTCCGTGGCCACCTCCTCAAGTAGCTTAGCAACACCAATGTTGCGATCCAATATAATGAGCCAGATGTTTTGTTGTGGCCCAAAGGTAGCCACGTGGTGTCTCGTTCGAGCACCGAGCAGGGTCCAACATCAACATCTAGTTGAGTTTCTATGTATGTACGCGAGGCCAAAGGTTACTGTGGCCAAAGTTACTATTAGGGTCCCTGGCCTTCCTATGGTGTAACATGAGGTATGCTAGGGTGGTTGATGGTTTGGAACTTTTCCTCTCCATTGCGAGGTTTGGCACTAATGGTGGAATAGCAGTTTTGGCGGGAAAAAGGTGGTGTGGAGTGTGGACGACTCCAACTCAAAGTTAATAGACGAGTGAGGTAGATTTTGAATAAAAGAAGATGCAAATTATATCTATATATAGGTTGGAGACAATACTATGAGGTAGGTGAATCATTACTCTAGTAAGTACAGTGTAGGAGGGAAATTTTTTAATAATATGTAAGTACCTCGGTACTCCCATTTATTAAAAAGATTTTTTTTTTTTTTTCATTTTAACTCATGGCTTTTTTTTTTTAAATTCTAATTTTTTTTTTCTTTTGACATGAATATATCCAATGACGCACGGACACGGGACACGAGACACGAGACGACACGACACGCCGACACGTTAATTTTAAAAAATGCTAAGTTTCGACACGTTGGGACACGTTTTGATATTAAATAATATTTTTAATATATATAATATTAAAAATAACGACGACAACGACACTTCTAGGCATTAAAACGCGGGCAACAATAATCTTCAGAGAGTAATAGCCCAATGCTTACCAATAGTCACTATCAAACTTCAATACTTTAATAAATAAATAAAAAACGATGCAACATTTAAAAAACAATATTTTTTAGGTTTAAGAAACAACATTTAAAAAATACAGATCTAAGATTGGAACACACAGATCAAGCGGTTGAAGAACATGAAGGAGAAATTAACCGAACAATTTCAAGGAATGGAAAATCTGAGGAAATGGAAACGGAGCTTACCTTCTGGAAATCTTGTGGAGCGACGCCAGGGAGGTAGAAGCAGAGGCCGCCGTGGATGAAAAGCAGATGCGCTATTCCTCCACTCTCTCCTCTCCGATTCTGTGAACGACGACGCCACAGGCGGTGAGGACACCATCGACGCGCTTGACGTGGTGGGGGAACAACCTCCGGTTACGACGGACGTGGAAGAAGACGATGGTTTCTGGGTATTTCTTAAATATTTTTTATTTTTTTAATTGTAATTTTATTTATTTTTTATAAAAAAATGTCAAACGTGTCCACATACGTTGACCACGTGTCGGATTCGGTCAAATTCGCGTGTCCCACTAGTCAACGTGTCCTAAAAAGTTGACCGCGTGTCGGACGCGTGTCCGTGTGCGTGTCCGACATTATCGGAGTGTCACAACTCACAAGTTGAATGGTTTAAGCGTAGTCAGAAGACGGGTATGCGGATTAAATGGATTGTCCCTATTCATCATGTATTTGATCCTAACTAGTATTTATAAAAGCTTAAGCTTAATTTTTTTTTTTTGGTAAGCAGCTTAAGCTTAATTTATTACTAAATAAATTAGGTAAAAGTATATTAAAAATAAATAAGGCAATAAATCGTTCATGATACATTGACTAAATTAGTTACACCTTTATTTATTAGCAAGAGCCTTTTTAGTTTTTTATTTTTTTTATTATCAAAAAAATAGTTTATAATAAAAGATATGATTATTTATATCAATATATCTAACAATACTAATTTATTAATTATGTGAATCATTATATATAAGTGAATCAATATCTAAATTTTGATATAAATTTTTTTATTCTTATACCAATATAATAATAACCTGGCCTTACTATAATATCTTTAAATAATTCGCCAAAAGATATATTTGATAACAGTGGAATTTGGATTCAAAACTTTACAAGTGCTTCACCGTAAACTTTACTATACTTTAAGGTGTTCCCTCCTTTATGATACCTTTCGTATACCTTTTCTAGAATCTATAGTGCTTTCTCTTCTGTTCCATTATCATCATTGTTAATCCTTATTGTTCTCCTTTCTTTATACCAAGATAATTCGAACTTGGAAGCAAAGTTTAGATTTAGATTGATACTCAATTACTTGAATGGCCGTGATAGAAAGCTTTATAGGTTTACTGTACTGAACCGAAGCCAACCACCAACATGTGCAACAAACTAAACAGTTCAATGTGGGGTATAGGAAAAATTATTACAAATATAACAACAATTGGTCAATCTGCTAGGGATTCGATGGTATTTAACTTATAATTTAAAAAAATAAACTTAAGCTGTTATTAACGAATTAAATGCAATTTAAAATTTATGGATTTTTTAATCGTTCACACTTTCAGCATATTCATATTCATTAAGGAATTAATTTTCTTATATATACCTACAAATAGGAGGGAACGAGTAGTTAAGTAGATCAAACTTTTAATATTTTCATCACACCTTGATTTGTTTTTTTAATATACTCATCACAATCTAATTTTAGAGCTTAAAATCGAAGCTAGTTGAACGGCATATTTGTTGGCTTAATATAAAAATACGAAGTGAGGTTGATTTGATTTTGATCGAATGATAACAAAATTGATAATAAAAGATAGTAAGAAAAAATAATAATAAGTATAACCCATCTCATTTTTTTTTAACCAAAAGACACATAAAATAAGGATCATCTTACACCAATATAAATTACACTCAATATTAGTAGTTAATCTTATATCGAATAAGTTACGTGAGTAAAAGATCGAACACATACTCTCATTCCATTTGCTCAATTCCGTGACGCCAACTGAGCTACTATCATTTAATAAAAAAAATAAGTTTGAGAAATAAACTTTATCATCACATAAATGGAAAAACAAATTCAGATTTAAACTTTTTCAAAAATGGAAATTGCAATATTTATTGTGAGTTACTAGAAGGCAACCAATTAGGTTGATAAGTTTACAATACAAGTTTGACTCTTGTCATTCAACCATATGCCTATTTTCACCAAACATGCACTATATGAAGCAATGTAGATGATTATTGGATTATAATATAATAATAACTTGAGAAATAAGCTTCATAATCACATAAATGGAACGAAAGTGTAAGATTTGAACATTTTTTAAATGGGAATTGCAATATCAGTCTGAATTTTTTTTTGTACAATATACTTTATCATCACATAAATGAAAAGAAAGATTCAGATTCAAACATTTTTAAATGGAAATTGCAATATTTATTTTGGTTCATAGAAAACAACTAATTAGGTTGATAAATTTATAATGCAAGTTTCAACTTATAATTAATAAAAAAACAGATAATAAAAAAAATTTAATTTGTGTTTAACTTTTTTTTTTTGTAAAAAAGAATAAGAGAAATTAAACAAAGCCAAAAAAAATTCTTTTTTTTTTATCTTTATTCTCCTTTTTAAAATAAAACGTCCCACGAATGCCAAACCGAGCCGGAAGAAACTCCCACACCACACGTTCTCTCTCGGTAACCGTAATTTAATCTACTGTAGAAAAGGTACACGTCATCACAGAAAAGACTTGGTAATCCAATTTTTTATTTTTAAAAGACAATAGTAAAAAACTAAACCACAAACATTCAATGAACCGATAACAATACGCCGAAAAGGCAAGAAGATCGGAGAGACAAAACATATCATATCATCAATTAATCATTATAATTATCTTATCTTAAAAATCTAATCAAAAGTCAACACCCCACTAATTACTACTTTTTCAAAATTTTAAATTTTATTTAAGTAATTATTATTTTTCCGTTAATCAATTTATCGTTTAGTAATAAATATAGCTGGTACGGTTTTTTCTTTATTTTTCTTTTTGGGAAAATATTATCTTATGTTGTAGGAGAGTATTTTTCTCTCCTACACATACATCGACTTCCGTGTTGCTTTTTTTTTTTTCTTTAAGTGAGTGGATCCCACTCATAACTATCTCTATGACATAAGAGAGCTTCTCTTATGTCACATGAGATTAATAAATCCCTTTTTTTTTTTTTTTCGTATGCTGTTTTGATTAATTAACTAATTATTATAAATGACTGGATTATAATAAAATCCACCTCAAAGATATGTTGTTAACTTGTTATCCAGCAAAACGCTTTCCTAATCCAACTTGTTAACAAAGCTGGTTTTCTCCAACCTTTTCCTTAAGCCAATTAAGTAACTTTGACCCTTCCTGTCTCTTTCCCTCTCTAAAGTCTTATAAACTCTCTCTCTTCTATTTCCATCCTTTATTCTTCTCTCAATTGAAACTCACACTCAGCAACCTTTTCTCTCTTTCTTTCTTTCTTTTGTTTATCGCAGCAAGAAGAAGACAAAGCTTCCCCTTTGGATTCAACGTCAGATCCCTTTCAACTCACAGTCACACAACAAAGGAAAAAACGCCACCAACAAGAACACCAGCGATTGCACAATTCCAAAGAAAACGGTGTCGTTTATAAAAAAGCATAAAAAGGGATCGATCGTGTAAAACTATCAAAGAGGTATATATAAAATGAGGTGTAAGAAACACTCACCGGACCTCAGCAGCACCGTCGGCGTCTGCGCCTCTTGCCTCCGTGAACGCCTCCAAGTCCTCGTCGAAGCCCAGGCCCAAGCCCAAGCCCAACCCCAGGCCCATTCAGCCCGTTTCGTCCCACGCGCTGTTTCCGACGATAATCACCGTCTCAGAAAGCCTGAGACCAAACCTCCGCCGCTCAACTTCCCCCGTTCGGTCTCGCCGTACGTTTCTCGCCGGAAATCGGACTGCGATCGTCGCCGGGAGCGGCTCTTCTACAGCACGCCGCAGGTTGGCTCCGCCGTATCCTCCGCCGCGTGCGACGGAAGGACGGCGTCTTCGTCGAAGAGGAAGGTCGGAAAATTCTGGATCCTATCGAACCTGTTTCCGTCCAGATCGAACAAGACGGAAATCTCATCTCGCGAATCGTGCGAGCCTTCTTCCACGGCGTCTAATCCGTCGTGGTTCTCGACGATCCTCTCCGCTCGCCGGCAAAACCACGACGCGAATTGCGCTATCGATAGGAGGCGGTGCAGGGAATCGGATCGGGAAACACCGGTGACGATAACGGAGAATTTCAGCGACGAGGTCGACGGACACAGTAGATCTTCATCGGGATGCTCGTCGGAATCTCCACGGCAGCGGCATCAGACGCCGGATGTGGCGGCTCCGTCGGCACGGCGTTCGCGGCTAGGTTTCGCCGGAAAGAGCGTAACGAGCATGGCGCTTTGTTTGAGCCCGTTGGTTAGGGCGAGTCCTAACCGTCACTGGAGCCAAAAGGGGGTGGTGCAGGAATTGGGTGTGGGTGGGGCTCACCATATATCCACTGCGGCTTCCTTTTGCGCCAACCGGTCCAGGAAACTTGCAGATTTCGGAAGAGTCAACCACAACCGTTGATTTTGTTGACCGTTGACATCATATGCGGTGATTACTTTTTGTTCATTTATGTTTTTGTGCATATTTTTAATACTTTTTTCCACACAAGTAAATTCCTTTCTTTGAATTTCTCTATGTACAGTCTACACAGTTTATAACAAGGAAGAGTAAATATATATTTGAGATAGGAGATTGTTTGTATTGATTAGTGTTATTTTTAATGTCATTATTAATTTGTTTTATCGATAAATTGATTATGTTATCCATGGTTCTGGTATAATTTTCTAAAAATTTTATTTCTTTTCTTTATATTAATACTTTATATTTATTTTCACTCTTTATATAATTATGATTTTTCATATTTATTGTGAAAACATTAAATATATTAAATCATAATAATATAATGGTGAAAATAAATATAACCGCTAGATCAACATAATCAATTTAATGATGAAACAAACTAGTAACGATATTGGTAATAACACTAATTGATATTAACTATACTATCTTATTTTTTTAAATGAATTTGTATAATGTATTTGAGATTGACATGTTACCCGACCGTTTTATATGGTATTGATAATTTTCATGTCTTTATATCAAATTTTTTATCTGTTTGGTAAAAGCATGAAAAAAATGAACCAAGTTTGTAGTTTTAATTCATTTGATGAATTATTTGTTCATAGCATATAAATTGATTTAATGATTAATTTAAATATTATTTTTGTAATGAATTCTAAAGATAACAATTAATTTTACAATGTACAGTTTTTTAGATTCTTTGAGGAACAAGAGAAGTATGACTAGTTGCGCTACACTTTCTGACTCCATGGTTGATTTCCAGTTTGGTGTTCTTTGTTTCAGTCAATAGCCAATTAAGAAAACGTTAGTGCTAAGAGTTGATACTTTTCCTGATAACTGAAAACGGCTAAACCTGTGGGGGCGTTTGTTACACAATTATATTGGAATTTCTTGAAAAGCTTGATAAGGAGAATTAGAAATTTAGAATGTCATGTTTGATATCAATAAATGCAAATTTTTCTTCGGTAAAAAGTTTGCCTGATTTTTGTTGCTATGTGTAAACTCTTATACGGTTATCTCGTTAGAAAATTCATAGATTCGGTGGTATAATTTTTTGCATGGGAAAGTAAAAAGTAACCAAAATAATATTGACCAAATTAATCCTATTTTTTGTGTGCTAATTTTGAATGAAAAAGTAAAAGAGGGGTTATGTTTGTAAAATAATCCTACATTTCTATTACTATTTCATAATCAACCAAACATCAACTTAGTAAACTTAATCAAATATTTTTAAGACAATTTTTTGTCAACCAAATACATTTTTATAACTTATCCGAAAAAAAATATTTCTCATCACATTCCGACAAAATTATTTTCTTAGTAATTTTTTTTTTCCTATATCAAAGGTTCCCATAGAGTTGTTATGTTTTTTTAATTGAGATTTGGATCATAACCATAAAATAATTGTCTCATTTTCTTGTAAAATATCAAGGGAATAAAGTATTTAATATTAATTTAAAAAATTGTCTGATATTCATCGAAATAATGTTGTTTTGGTGATAAAAATTAAAAAATTAGAATGATAAAAATTATTATAATCCCAAAATAAATTAGACTTATAAACACACTATGATTTCTGCCCTAAAAAAATAATGTCGTTTCGGTAAATATTAGATAAAATCTTCTAAACCTAATATGAAGTAGATCTTTCTTTTAATTTTTAGATACTAGTTATGGTTAATTTAATAAATATTTTTGTTATTATCATTAACATAAGACAAAATTTAAGTTATTGCGTTGTTTTATAATAAAAGTATAATGTACGTATTATTTTTTATAATTTAATTACAAAATTTTCCAAAAATGTTGTAGCTAAAACATAATGAAAGCGTTGCTATTCTACATATGGCAATATATTTATTATTTAAAATATAATTTAAAATTATAAGTATTTAGATGTTATAAATTTGAGTGATAAACATATTGCTATGTATAATTTTTATTATGAACTCAAATCCTTAATAACAATGAACTTGAGTTTATAATAAATCTTATATTTAATAATACATCTACTATTTGCAAGATAAAGGAAAATATGTTTCTCATATTGCATGAAACAATTGATTTATTTTTTTCTTAGTGAGTCTCATTCACTTTTTTAGTATGTTATACGAGACAAAATTATCTAATGTAATATGAGAAATATATTCTCCTAATTTAAATTATAAATGTTTATATACTATGATATTTTAAAAATAAGTATAATATCTCGTATAAAACTTATTTTGAACCCAAGTTATAATAGCGTCCATAAAAAGAAAACTATGAATAATTGAATATTAGGATCTCTTTTTTGTTTTTGGTAAATACTAGATTATACTTTGTAAATCAACAATAAAAATAATAATAATAATAATAAATCCACTATATCAAGATAAAGACATAATTACATTAATAATAATAAATAATCAAATAATGACTCTCATAAACTGATTTGGTGAGGAACAAAATGAAGGTTGGTGTCTAGAATGGCGAAGTCAATGTTACTTGAAAAGTTTATTTTCATGGTAGTGAAGAGGACACGCAATACAAGAGGGAAGATACAGAGATTGCATAGCGTTGAAAAGTGTCTGTACTTGGTGAATGATGATGCTGGTTACTGGGGGTGGGGTCCGCACCATTTAAGCCCGTCTTGCGTCGCAGTTAATTCCTCTGATTCGGGTTCCCTTTCGAAACTTGAAGCTTAACACTTTCTTTGACTGTGTACCTCTTAAATCTGCATCGGTATATTCAGGAGTTGTTTGTTTAAAAAAAAATAATGATTTATTATTTATTATATCTGTTTCGGATGGCTTAACCCCACAAGAAGCCCAATAACTCTTTAACTTGGATGGCCCAATCCCACCAAGCTTCAATGAGCTTGAGCCCAAGACCTTTGCATGCGCACACGTCAGCCCTACCAACCCGCGGTTAATGCATGCCCCAAGGCGGCACGCGTTCCCAGGTGAGACACCAAAATGTCTCACCTAGGAACCCCCAACGACCTACAAACCGCCCAAACACCATTAGAGGTAATTGCCTGACTGTCGCCTGCTGACACCGCCAAGAGCAGACACTGTATCACTGCAGCACCAGTGATGCAGTGTAACCTTGTTAAACCCAAGGAGGGTTGACCTCCATACCAAAAACCCTAATGGAACAACACACAGAACCACTATAAATACCACCTTCTACACGAATAGAAGATCATCTTATGTATTGTTATTATGCCCATTTGTATTAAGTCTTATTCTTACTCATTATCTACCATTGTTATTAGCTTGTTAAACACTTGGAACAATACCTTCTAGTCAAGTCTTTACCTTGGCTGGTGGTACTATCCATACATCAACATTATTCTCAAAGGGTACATAGTGGGCTTATAGATTCCATCGGTACAATATCGTAAGAGATAAATTTATTTTCTATATCCATATAAAAAATGGATTCGCTTTTTCTACATTTAATGTAGATAATTTATCTACATTGAGCTCAAAAAGACGTCGTTTTAAGGCAGAAATCAAGGTATTTTTGTAATTATAATTTATTTCAGGGTTATAATAGTTATTTTTATTAATTTTTTTAATTTTTCACTCTAAAACGACGTCGTTTTGGGAGCTAATGTAAACAACTTATCTACATTCACTGTAGAAATATTAAAGCCATAAAAAATATATGAAACCATGTTTTATTTTTATCTCTTTTCTTTTCACATGGATCTTATTGTTTGTATGTGAATCCAAAGATCAAGATCATTCTTAAGAAATGGTTGATTTTAATTTTTTTTTTCTACTCTAATCCTTAATTCTTGAACAACAGAGTAATCAAGCGTTAAAACTCAAGTAAAGTCTAAATGAATTTAAAATTATAATTGATTTGTTTTTACTAAAGGTAATTGAATTATTTATTCAACAAAGAACAACAATTATAAAACTTTAAAATTTTTAAATCATGGATTTTTCTAAAGAAATTTGCATCCCTGATTAGAGTTACAACCTATTTTCGTTTACAACATTTTAGAACCATATCTTAACCATTGATTTTCGTCAATCAACGATTATTATTTTCGCAAATCAAACTCATTGATTAATTATGGAAAAAGTGTTTATCTTTTTAAATGACATAATTTATATCCTTTCACTCTCAAAAAGAGGTGGGACCCACACCTTTATTTTTTTGTTAACTCTCTCTCCTCCTTTATCTATCTCTTTCTCTTTCTTAAAATGACACAACTTTACATCCTTTAAAATGACACACACTTTTCCCATTAATTATTAATTCGCAATAAATAATAACCATTGATTGACCGAAATCGACGGTTAAGATATGGTTGTAAACGAAAATAGGTTATGAGTATAACCTTCCTCCCCTGCTTATTCCCATTGCTATAGCACTTTTATCACAGAATTGAACTACTAAAGCCCCTTTCCTGGAATTTCCCAATTCTAGTGTTAAAGTATAACCAAATCCTTTCCCAAGGTGTTTCAATTAGATCTTTAGGTAGTGCTTGGTAGAAGATTTATTTTGAGATTGATGGAAAAGTGTAAGTGGGTATTGGAAAATACCACGTTTGGTTCAGGTTTTTGAAAAAAATACGAGGCAAATAGGATAGATGGGGAAATGAGTTTTGTGTTGATTTTTGGATGAAATTTACTGTTACAGAATACCACTTGAGATGTGGTATTTTGAGATATCTGGGGAAGTGAAAAAACAGGTGCGAAGTTTCTCCCGAACATAGATTGTGCAAATTTAAATAAATTTCCCTGGTAATATTTCAGTCAACCAAACAATTTTTTTTACATTTTCCTATTAAACTCACTTTCCAACCATTTTCCTAGTAATTACATTTCCCTAGTATTTAAAAAAATTCTCCTCAACCAAACGTCCCCTTAGACAAATTCAATTTCCTCCTCAGGTTATCCCTGACCTCAAAAGGTTTAATTAACAAAAACATAAACTTAATTTCCCAATCAGAACTCATGCAAATGAAGGTCCAAGATCCTTTCCCAAGGTTTCTTGAAACTAAAAGAATTGCTAATCAAATGCAATAAAAGAGCATAATAGTGTTCAATAAAAAGAAGGATTATCCAATCATCTTGAATTCTAGAAAAAGAAAATTAGCAAGCCATATTATAAGTAAATGAAATAAAGAATCTCAATGCAACAAGAAATATTGTACTTTCTTACCAAGCTGAAATGTAAAAGTCAAG